ATGGCCGTAATTTTGCATCTTGGGCTCGTTCCCTCTGCCTCTATGTTGGTGGAAAAGGCAAATCAAGGTGGATTTTGGGTACTGAAAATAGGCCAGATATTAAAGATCCTAAATATGCTCAGTGGGATATGGACAATTGTACCATTTTAGGATGGATGTTTAATTCTATGGAGGAACGCATTTATAATATATTCATGTTTTATGACTCTATTAATGACTTGTGGAGTGCTTTGAATCAAATGTATGCTCATTCTAGGAATGATGCTCGTATTTTTGAATTATATCAAGATATTGCTAAGGCCTCGCAGGAAGGCCTGAATTTGTCTGTAACTGATTATTTTGGGTATTTGAGATCTCGTTGGGAGGAACTAGCTCAATATGAGCCTCTCAGTGAATTTCCTTCTGAGGCAGCCTCTCTTCTTGTCAAACGTCTTGATCGTCAGCATACCTATCAGTTTTTGATGAGATTACGCCCAGAATTTGAACCACTAAAGTCTCAGATCTTGAATGCATCACCAATGCCATCCCTGTTGGAAGCCTTTGCTACTGTTGATGGTGAAGCACGCAGGCACCGTTTAATTCAGCCCTCAATTGTTCCTGTACCAGTGTTTGAGCCTGCTGGGGATAGTATGGCTTTTGCAGCCAACTTTGGATCACGAGCTTCTAGAGGTCAGATTATTTGTCACCATTGTGGAGGGGTTGGACATGTTAAGGCTCGTTGCTTCAAATTTCATCCTGAACTGAAGCAAAAAATTTCTAGGAACCGTTTATTTGGAACTGGTTCTTCTCGTACTGCGGCTGTTGCAGAAACTCCTGGTACTACTGGTGGATCTACTGTATTTCCTGGACTGAGCCAGCTTCAGTCTCAGATTGAGCATATCCAAGACCAGCTTGGCTCCCTTACTTTTAGAGTTAGTGCTCCTTCAACTGCTCCTACTGCAACTATTGCTACAGGTACTCCTACTGCATTTCATGTTAAGGCCAAGCAGCCCACTTGGGTTTTGGATTCTGGGGCCAATGATCACATGACTGGTGAGTTATCAGTTTTTTCTTCTAATGTCATACCTGTTACCCAATCTGTGTATCTTGCAGATGGCTCTACATCTTACATTCACAGTAAGGGTGATGTTTGTCTGTCTCCTGATATTACTCTGTCATCTGTCCTTCATGTACCTAAATTTACCTTTAACCTTTTATCTGTTAGTCGGCTTGCAAAAAACCTCCAATGTGCAGTTATATTCTTACCAGATCACTGTTTGTTGCAGGACCTTTGTTCGAAGACGATTTTTGGCAGGGGTTATGAGCGTGATGGGCCTTACTACTTTGGGGAACCACCAAGAACGAGTCTTCAAGCTTCTGTCCTACTTACTTCTAGTGTTTATGATATTTCTTTTCGCACTTTTAGTCTGTGGCATGCACGTTTGGGGCATGTAAACTTTCAATATCTATGTCTTTTGTTTCCTTCGTTAAATAAAGCATGTAAGAACCATAAGTTTCAATGTGAAGTTTGTGAGCTTTCTAAACATACTAGAACTAGCTATATTTCTCATATGAGTCGTGCTCCTAGTATGTTTGATCTTATTCATTCTGATGTCTGGGGCCCTTCCCCAGTTATTGGTTTCTCTGGACATCGATATTATGTAGCATTTATTGATGATTATTCTCGTTGTACTTGGGTTTATTTATTGAAAAAGAAATCTGATGTGTTTCTTTTATTTACCCAGCTTCTTCAAATGATCAAAACCTAGTATAACACTGTTGTCCGTAATATTCGTTCTGATAATGGACGAGAATATGTTTTGAATGAGTTCCGGTCTGAACTTAATAAAAAGGGGATTTTACATCAACTCACTTGCCCCTATACTCCTGAGCAAAATGGTGTGGCTGAACGCAAAAACCGTCATTTTATGTCTGTGATCCGATGTCTTCTGAGTGGTATGCATGTGCCTAAATTCTATTGGCACATGGCTGTTCTTACAGCTGTTTTTCTGATTAATCTTACTCCCAATCGAGTTTTGGGTGGTAAGGCACCACTTCAGATTCTCCAACCTGATTATACATTGTTTCACCTTCTGCCTCGTGTTTTTGGCTGTACTTGTTTTGTTCATAACCGTAGTCCTTCTCGTCATAAACTTGATGATAAATCTATTAGGTGTATTTTCTTGGGGTATTCTGCTATGTCAAAGGGCTATCGTTGTTATGATCCTGTGACCAAACATATGTATCATTCTCTTGATGTGACATTTCATGAAACTGTTCCTTTTTATAGTACTAATTCTGTGGTACAGGATTCTCTCTCTTGTGATCTGGAAAAGGAGATTTCTCCTATTGCCCGTCTTGTTCCTCTCTTTGAAAATCACACTGTCCTGGAATCTCCTTCTCCATCCATACAGGGTTCCCCTCCACCTTTGCAGGTCTACTCTCGTCGCCATTGCACTCAACCTCCCCTGCCAGAATCATCTTCAGAACCAGGTCCAGGTAACTCTCCTTCTCCTATTGTTCCTACAATTCCTGAGCATACCTCCCGTTATCCTACTCGTGATCGTCATCCTCCTAATTGGTGTGGTTTTTCTAGTATCACTAACCACCCTATTTCCCAGTATGTCTCCTATGATGGTCTTTCAGGTGCATATAAATCCTTATTGGGCAAGATTGGGACCGTTTCTATTCCTCGATCTGTGTCAGAAGCCCTCCAGGATCCCAATTGGGTGTCTACCATGACAACAGAAATGGATGCTTTACACCATAATAATACATGGGAACTTGTTGCTTTACCTTCTGGGGAGAAAACAGTTGGCTGCAAGTGGGTCTTTAATGTGAAGTACTTAGCCGATGGTTCTATTGATCGGTATAAAGCTCGGTTGGTGGCAAAAGGCTTTACTCAGATTTCGGGCAAAGACTTTAGTGCTACCTTTGGTCTTGTGGCTAAGTTGATGTCTGTGCGACTGCTTGTCTCCTTGTCTGCTGCCCATTCTTGGCCTCTGCATCAGTTAGATGTCAAGAATGCATTTCTTAATGGAGACTTACTTGAGACTATATATATGGATCCACCCCCTGGATGTCGGGCTGAGGGGGAGTATGCTGGGAAAGTCTGTAGGCTACGGAAGTCTCTTTATGGTTTGAAGCAATCTCCTAGAGCTTGGTTTAGTCGTTTCAGCAATGTTGTTTTATCCATGGGCTTTGTGCGCTGCCACTCAGACCATACTTGTTTTATTCGACGTCGCTCTGATGGTCGTTACATTATGTTATTGGTATATGTGGATGATATCATTATCACAGGTGATGATGCTTCAGGGATTGCTCAGGTGAAACTTCATCTTCAAAAGTCCTTTGATGTGAGGACTTAGGTCCTCTTCGATATTTTCTTGGAATTGAGGTTGCTGGATCCAGTCGTGGAATTTCTTTATCTCAAAGAAAATATGTTTTGGATCTTCTTCAAGATACTGGCATGCTTGGGTGTCGACCCGCTTCCATTCCTATGGACCCCAATCTTAAACTCTCTGTTGAGTCAGGGGAATTCCTTCCAGATCCATCCGTGTATCAACGTTTAGTAGGTCGTCTTATCTACTTGACTAACACAAGGCCCGATTTGACATTTGCTGTCAGTGTGATTAGTTAATTCATACATGCCCCTCGCTCAGCTCATATGGATGCAGTCTACCATATTTTGAGGTACCTTAAGTCGTGCCCTGGTCTTGGTCTGTTCTATGCCTCAGGAAATCAGTCTGGACTCTTATGCTTTACTGATGCAGACTATGCTGGATGTAAAACAGATAGACGTTCTACCTCTGGCTTCTGTACTTTCTATGGTAATCATCTCATATCATGGAAGAATAAGAAGCAGACTGTTGTTTCTAGATCCTCTGCTGAAGCTGAATACCGAGCTATGGCTCAAGGTACTTGTGAGCTTCTTTGGCTTCAATCAATTTTGGGAGAGTTGGGTCTTGTACAGAAAGGTTCTTCAAGGCTGTTTTGTGACAATAAATTAGCCATTATGCTTGTTTCTGATTCTGTTTTACATGAAAGGTCGAAACATATTGAGGTAGACATTCACTTTATTCGAGAGAAGGTTCGATTGGGTATCATTAATCCTATTTTTGTTCCTTCTTCAGAACAGACTGCAAATGTGTTCACAAAGTCTGTAGGGCCTTCTCTTCTCCAGTCTTCCATCGTCAAGCTGGGCTTAATCAACATATTTGCTTCACTTTGAGGGGGAGTATTGGAAATCTTATCTATAAGTTGACTCAACGATTATGGCAGATTTATTGGGTCTTCAATATAGGCTAATTTTTAGGGATTTTATTTTTATTCTGATTTGATTTTATTCTCTTTATTTTGATTTTATTTTATTTTATTTTCCATATTTGTAATTTTCCGCTTGTATATAATGATAGTCAGGTTCTCAAATTGAGTACGCTAATTTTACCAAGTTACTTTTTACCGGATTCTAAAAAGTTGCCGGAGATAGTTGCCGCTTGTATCGACTCTACACCGGACTTCGTCCACTTCGTCGCAGAGATGCCTTACTTTCTCTTCAATGGCGAGTGAGAGTTTGCAACTAGGTTGTAACTAGGTTGAGAGAGAGAGAGAGAGAGAGGGTGAGAGTTTGTAACCTAGGTTCGAACTGGAAGATAGAGAGATGATCAAAGCTTACCGCTTGAATGAACTTGCCACCGGAGTTTGTCCAAGTTCATAGCAGAGTTCCCTTTGTCTTCAATGACGATACATACCAAATATGTTTAGGGATTCTAAACTTGGGTTCGATCTAGGGATGTTCTTTTTGGTGACAAGGTAAGTAGATAGAAATTAGAAAAGCTAGAGGCATGTTTAAGGGTTTTGTAATTGAATCCACATGCAAAATATAGCCAGCCTCCCAAGTCCTAACATGGTCCAAAATGTTAACTTAACCAGACTCAGAAATTTATGAAAATACTTCTGATTTCTCAAGGGAAGTCCATGTTGTGTACCAAAAAATTTACCTCTCAAAAAGCTAGTCTCCATTAAGTAAAAAATCCGTTCAATTCAAATTAGATACAAGAATCAAATGTACATATGTAACATTAAAAGACAATGTTACATCTGTCTTGCAGTGAATTTTCAATACTGAAGTCAATACATAGATAATTTCAAGGCCTAACTAACCCAAAATTTGGAAGCTAAGTCACCAAACACTTTACATCCTTGCCTTGTTTTCTTCTTCACAGCTCGCTCACCACGTCCACAACCTGAAAATGTTTTGTTAAAAAGATGAGATAAAAGACCCAGCAGATTTCCAAATTTGTTGAAAACCAATAATTTCCATCAAAGGTCAAAACAAATTTTTCTTTCAACAGTAGCCGGAAAAAACTCTTTAGCAAATTCAGAAAATGAACCGATCAATTGGAGTTAGATGACATAATATAATCATGAAAACAAGTATTATTCCATCAAAATATTATCAAACCCATTTCCATAAAGTTAAAACATCACTTTCATAAGACCACAATAGTTCATAAAACTAGCCATAACTTTTTATCTTTCATTTTCAACAGGATGAATGCATATATAAACCAATGGTGGTCCTCCAAGAGAAATCCACCGGCCAACCCTTCGCACCGGCGTGGCCCCAACCTTCAATACCCAAACAAAGGTCTACTACATGGATTTCGGGTGTTTCACCCAAGGGTTACTCATACCCTACTTGTTTCTTTTGGGAAATTCACCCAAAACCGCAGCCCCACTTCCATTGACTCGATGCCTTCACCATCAGTATACACAATCATCAAATATTTTTTTTTTTCTTTTCAAACCAATACATTTTTGGCCTTCCAAGTCCCATTTCAAAGAAGGAATCAGTGTTCACTTTCAGAGTTTCTCAAACTCAAGCTGTCTTCTCCAGAGCACAATTCATTAAGACCCAAAGATCTCATATCTATTAAGAAAACAAAAATTCTGCAAAAGCATCACTACGTTAATTTTCTTTTCACAAAATTTCACTTTAAAAAATGCAACCATAGATATGTATCAAAATTCATTAAAGAGTACTCCCAGGGCGTGTGTAAAATTTTCTGCAAAAACGAACATGTTTTCTTTGAAAATTCACCAAAAATAGCAAATTAATCCAAACTACATGAATCCAAAGCCGTTTGAAAGCTAACCTGCTGAACTTTGATACCAACATTTTATTAAAACAAACACATTGAACAGTACAACATTAGCCAAAAATTTGTTTGAAAGCAGTTTTTCACAGCATAATATACCTAACTTGAAAATCCATAACAAATTCAATTCTTAGCCCATTTGAGTCGAATAAAACTCTAAACTCCTAACCAGTACTGTAGTATCTCAAAATTTCAAAGCCAATTAACAAGTCAAAGCACGACAAATTCAGCCCTAAACACATTTTGTTCATTTCAATCTTCAGCACAAATACACAATTCCAAACCCAACAAGTTGGAACAATTGTATTTGACAATTCAAACCATAATCAAAGGTGATGAAACAATTGCAGAATTCTTTCTAAATTTTTAACAAAATAAATCAATTTTTCAAAATAGATAAGTGGGAAAACCTACCTCTTTGAGGCTTTTTTCAAAAAAATTCAAAATTTCCTTCTCTATTTTTCTATCTTTGTTCACCCATATATATACTTCAGAATAGATAAGAGAGGGAAAACCTACCTCTTTGAGGCTTTTTTCCAAACTTTTCCCAATTTTCCTTCTCCATTTTTCTATCTTTGTTCACCCTATATATACTTCAGCTTTAAGTTCATTACTCTCAGCTTTCTCTATACATATACCTAATGTATATATGTTCTCCTACAACCCAAGTGAGAACCTTTCTTTGGAAGCTTGCTGCTTTATGAGTATACAAGTGTACATATAATGCTTCCTTTTATAAAACAGGACACTATGCATGCATATGGATTCTCTTGGAAGCTGTCCACATGTTTTGTTTTATATATATATATATATGTTTGTATATACAAAAAGGTATGGAGAGTTCTACAAACATAACATATTTTTAGTACGTGGAGGGTTAACACTTGGCACTTGTAGTGGTGACATGTGTCACACCATTCTTTAACTATTTTAATTTTGTTTTGTTCTAACCCTTCAGCTTCTCATAATTTACGTTTACCCCACAAGACCATAAATCTTTATTTCAATCTAAATCCTTTTACTTTCTAAATTTCTATATTTCAGCGTCAGCAGTCAACTTCCTTCAATGTACGTACCAAACCCACAAGTCCAAATCCGTTATTCGGGCTTTACTTAAATTGATCCATCTTATAATTCACAATAAACAATTATATTGATAAAATTTGCAAAGGCAACAATCTCATAGGGTTTAATCCAATCTAAATTTAAGTGAACCTCAACCCATGTTACAAACTAAATAACTTCCTTAAAATTAAGGATATTACACTAACAAATTATGTTCAGTATCTTTTAGCTATAGAAACAACAAGATCATGTGCACAAGTAAACCATCATTTGCCTTTAATTGAACAGGAGGATTTAATTCTCTATATATTCAAGTTTATGTGAAATTTCACACCCTCATTTTAAAATGCAGTCAACACTACCATAGCCTATATATCCTCTATAAGTACAAGCTTCAATGCTCTTTGCACCTTAGCACAATAAGTCCAGTCAAGAACAACACTCCAATAAGCTAGAAAATCTTAGAAAGAGCATATTGATACTCAACTACTTCATTAGAAGAAATGGACAAGTATAACGATGTGTGCGACTACTTTTGTCAAAACAATCAATTCATGTGTCAAGGTGTAAGTGACTACTTTAACAATAGAATTCAAACTTCCGTAAGTCAATTGAGGTAATTTGCAACAGTTTGTAAATTGAGGGTGTCTGCTGCCAACCCCTTTCTCACTCCTCAATCTCATCCAAATCCTACCAGAGCTGTTGTCCATCAGCGAAAAACCAGATCCACCGGAGAACCAAGGTGACTCCCTTTCTCTCCCTCTCTCTATGAACCGAAACCACTTTTTTTTTTCCCCACTTAGAAACTGGAGGTCTGGTGACATGGAAGACCACAAGGAGGTCTTCTCTCTCTCTCAATTCTTAATGTTTATATTCCCACTACTATTTTGTCCATCCTGTTTCATCTTTGATGATAAGATTTGTGTGATGAGAAGTAAACCATCAAACAGAAAATATATATATATATATATATATATGAATTTTTTTCTTTGAAGTATGTTTTTACATAGAAAAGGAGAAATCAAAGTAAAAGTACCTGACTTCAAATATCATCATCAGACGATTCTACTTTGTCCATTTTTCCAGGGGCGATCTCATATCGTGGAATCAACCATTGATCACACCAGACTTGTTTTTCATAACCTCTGTTGCCTATGGGAAAACTCTGTCCCATAGTCAGATGAGAACCTATATACGCAACTCTTTTAGCTAGACCGTTTCCTTGAGGATATGTAAACAATATTTCATATAGGTCGAACCTTTCCAACATATCAAAAATTTTCCTGTAAAACAATAATTTTTTTATCAATGTAATTGGAAATTGGAATCTAAATTTAAAGAATAAATAATACTAAGGTTTTGGCTCAAGTGGGTAAGTGTTACAATAGGTACTCGTCCCGCATCGGATCCGGATGGAAAGTGAAAGGGGTATAAATGGACAGAAAGAAAAGAAAAAAAGAAGAAGAATAAATTCAAACTTTATACTAAAAGCTTACCAACAAAGTTCCATATAATCCCACGGGACATGCTTCCTGCGACACAGAATCTTGACAATTTTAATATGGTCAATCTCCAATATTATTTTCATTGCTTCCGATCTCCTTCGGAGAATTTCATCTATCCCATGATGCACTGCAAGTAAGAATACTTCATCTCTAGATGTCGCATCAGGAAGTGGCTTATGGAACCTCTCCAAAACCGTTCCCCAAGAATCTCTTAGTACTTCTCCACAATAAGCTTCTTTGGTCCCACCAAGATTTTCCTTAAAAAACCCAGAAATGTTTAACTTGTACCACCCAACGCGTGGCGATTGCCAAAAACAGATAATTACTGGGTGTTTTAATAAAGTCGTCGGACAATTCTCCAAAACACAAATTTGTTGCTTAAACATGTAATTATAAATCCTTTCTTTGTACTGTTGAGGAACCCACTCCAACCACCACATGAAGTCATCTATCGAGATATATCTCAACTTGGAATCCCCAGCCACATGCCAATCAGTGTTACCCTTTTTGTACAACCCATAATTTTCTAATATTACGCTGTGCTTCTGTTCAAAAAAAAGATGTCGGGATCTACGAACAGTCTGTTGTTTAAAGATCAAACAATATATTTGTTAAAGAATAATTTGAATTATGTAAAATAAGAAATTATAAACATATAGAACTTACATATAAATCGTAAATGTTTGGAGAAGCTCCTTTCTTGATGTGAAGGGCAACCAGCACAGGATGAAGCATACTTAAGAAGTCTGAGGCATAATTTAAAAAATTATATTAGGAACAAATATAGCAACTAAACATTTTAATGACATGAAGCCAAAAATCTTTCTTGATTGTTTTCAAGTATCAGGTACAAAAATAGAAATGATAATAAAATTCCCTAGAATAGGGAAGCTACAGCTAAACACAATGCAAATTTTTAAACTGAAAAAAATACTTTCATTACGGACTTCTGTCTTCATTTTTCAAAACTAGCTACGAAACCAAAACAAGCATGGAATTACATTTTGGAAATGATAGCAATACTAGATTGCAATTTGACTTTTGTGATTTTGTGTTCACAACAAGTCAGTATAGAGAGGAGAAGCTTTTTGGAGGTAGCAAAATTACCACGTAATCTCACAGCCTGCGAGGTTTCGAGGCTGCCGTTGGACAGAGGGCACAAGTTCAAAGTGGATGATGCGAGTGTTGAGGGAAGGAAAGAGACTCTGCAATCAGGTATTGTTGGTCGTTTCGACAAGGAAGTGGGAAACCTAGAGAATACAGACGAGTGGGCTACAAAGGCATGGAAGGTGGCGAGTGGGGTGCGTGGCTCCACTGTCGGACTCAATGCTTCTATTCAGGCTACCTTCATGCATTGACGCAATTTGGGTTTTGAAAGGGGCAAAACTTAGTGGGGAGAGGCTTTTTTAAAGCTTGATGTCTGGTCGTACATAGTGGGATCTTTGGCATTCTAAGGAAGAGCAAGGAAAGAAAATTCTATTGTATGGTGTGCAGCTCCATCTGTGGTGCCATCCATAGGTCGTGGCAACTGGAAATTTGTGTGGTGATTTTAAAGGCGTAAAAGTTGATGAAATGGTAGACATAGAAAGAATAATCATTTCAGGCACGGACAGAGGGGAGATACCGGCTTCTGTGATGGTGAGGGAAGGGAAGGTGAGTTATCTGGTGGTTGTGTTGGAAGAAACATGTCGGAACAGATTCAGGCAATAGCGTTGCTCATAGATCAAGATGAGAATTTCTTAATCCAAGAGAAGGATTGGTGGCGAGAGAAGGACGACGCCCAGCGTGTGATGGAAGCATGCCTGAAAGTGACGTCTGACAAGTCGACGATGCGCAACTAGAGAGGTAGGGGATAAGGGTTTTTACAGGTGCCTGGGGGGCGTAAAAAGAGGCGAGCAAAAGGGGACACATGGTGAGGTCTTTTTAACAACCAAAAAGGGGTGGGAGACAACTCTTGACCCATTTATTAAACAGATTACAAATGTTAAGTAATAATGGTGTCATGTTCGTGTTGTCCCATTTAACAAGATGCTTGTGTCCTTACCCGACACACACCAACAAGTATTACTGAGGCCCTAACACTAAGGTTGAACTCAAAAGCCAAAAGGGATGGCTTTTGACAAGCATTTAATCGAAGGGGGGAATATGGGGGCGCTTAGAATCATGAGAATTGGGCTAGTCATAATCATATTACGTCGGATAACCTGTCAATGGGACAAAAGGTGCAGAGGTCAACTAATCAAAAGGGATTGAAGCAAGACAAACTAAAAGCATAACCCATAATTGAACAATATGGGCACAAGCAGAGAGAGAGAAATGACCTTCATTGAATGGGTCTCAAAGGCAACCCAAAACTCACCTAAGTGTTATAAAATAAAATAAAATCTAAAGCCCATTCACACTTAAAGGGAAGGAAGGGGTGAGTGGTAAGAGTAGCAAAGTGGCAGAACAAGTATGGAAAAGGGTGGAGCCGCAAGTGGTGGGACAAGTGAACTCGAAACATGTAACAAAATGTGAATATGGCAGGTTTGGTTGGTTAGATGTATGAAGGGGACTGCCAGAACCAGATTGTGGTGACTAGAGAGGGTGATGAAGGCAGACTGATCACACTATGCGTGGGCAAGGGGATGCAGTTGAGATTGAGAAGCGATTTCGCGGTAGCCATGATGGATTAACTAAGTTTGTATCATAGAATGGGACAGTTACGGTAGATGGGGAGAGAGAGAGAGAGAGAGGGGGGGGGGGGGAGGGGGGGGGGGGGGGGGGGGGGGGGGGGGGGGCGCATGGACACTTCTACTGCAGGTGGTTACAGAGCCCATTTTGTGCAAGAAACAGTGGAACAGTCAGGCAAAGAAGATTAACAAAATATGCCGATTCACCCATTTGATATCAGCCAAGCTGTGGTGGTGGGAGAGGAAGTTGAAGGCAATGGGAATAGGCTGTTCCAACCTTTAGCAGTCATGTGACCTGATTAGGAGGCCGAAAAGTTGTCCATTCAGGCTAGGAATGCCCCAAGTTGTTTGTCTTCAAGAGTCAAAGTTGAAATTCACTTATAAGAGGATAGTGAGGGTTCTGCATGAGGCATTTTGGCTTGTGGAATATGAGATGGGTATCCAAAGTGGAAACGCGGAGGGGAGATTTTCAGTTTCTTGCTTATTCTCTCTTGAGGCGGATGGGTTTATAGGTCGGTCGAGGATGGGGTGCAGGCACTTTTGTGGGTGGAATTAGCTTTTGCTTATGGGCAGTGGAGTTTTCCGTGTTGTGTTTGGTGGGGACTTCAATGCAGTTAATAGATCTCCTCGTTTACTAGGTCTAGTGGCAGAGAGTTCCTGCATTAACTCAGTTGGATAGATTTTTTATTTTGGGGGAGTGGAAGGAGAAGTTTCCGATGTTCACGTGGCATTGGCAATACCAGTTTCGGTTCACATCCCTTTGTCATTGAAATTATATGGCCTCGGGTAGAAGGCTTTGAGGAGAGAATGAAGCATTGGTGGGAAGGGTATGAAGTGAAAGGCAGCTCGAGTTTCATCCTTGTTAGCAAGCTTTGCCTTTTAAAAGAGGATGTTAAGGAAAGGAATAAGGAGGTGTTTGGCAAGCTTGAGTGGAGGAAGAACAGAATATTGATGGAGATTGTTGTGCTCGATCGTAAGGAGGGAGCGGGGGTTTTTAATGGGTTAGAGAGGAATGCAAACTAGAGCTCAAGAAGATTGCTATTTCATAGGAGATTTCGTGGTGACAAAATTCTAGAGCTTTGTGGCTTAAAGAAGGGGATTGAAACACGAAATCTTTCATAGGTTGGTCAATGCCCATCCAAGGAGTAACCATATTGGAGAAATCCGAGTGAATGGTCTTGTGTGGAGCAAGGAGGAGGATGTTAGTAGGGAGATTTTGCCATTCTATCAGCACTTGCTTATGGGGAGCATCGAGGGACAACCACTGTTGGATGGTTTCGAGTTTGATGTGATCTTAGTGGAGGATAGAGATGAGATAGATAGACCATTCACTAAAGACGATGCGGTTACTGCCTTAAAGAGTTGTACTAGGGATAAGGCACCGGGAGGTCATGAAGAGAGGTAATGGAGGCTGTCAACACTTTCCATGAGCATGATCGGTTTGAGAGATGTATGGATGCCACTTTTGTAGCTCTTTTTTTTTTTTTTTTTTGTTGATAAGTAATAATCGATTAAAAAGCGTTCAAAAGGGGAACGCGTCCCGGATATAAAACGAAAAAAACCCAAGGACCCATGGAGTCCAATATATCAACAATGTCTACAGATGAGGAGCAAGAGCTTCCTTTAACATGGCAGCGAAGAAGAAGTTTCAAAGTCAGCAAGGACGATTCCCTCCCTTCAAAAACTTTGTTATTTCTCTCTTTCCAAATGCACCACCATAAACAGTGTGGAGTAATCCTCCAATAATCTTGTGCATGACGTCGAACGTGGCATCCTCTCCACGCATTGATCAGATATCTGGAGGATTGAGGCATCAACCAATGCATGCCAAACAGGCCGAAAATAAGCTTCCAGCAATCGTACGCCACCGGACAGTGCAAAAGGATATGATCCACAGACTCCCCATCACTTTTGCATAGGCAACATCAATTGACATTAATCTTACCTCTTTCGCAAATTGTCAAGTGTGAGAATGTTGCCCCATACGGCTGTTCAAACAAAGAATGCCGCTCTAGGTGGAGCCTTAGACCGCCAGATGGTCTTCCATGGAAAGACCGGACCGACGAAGTTGGAAAGGCATAGGAACATGGACCGGACGTTAAATGTTCCATTGGAAGAAGGAACCCACACAATGTCGTCATTACCTATGCTAATTGCCTCCTGCTGAGACAACAAATCCAAGAAGGCAAAGGCCTCTTGCAGCTCCCAATCTTGAAAAGAATGTCTAAAATGAACATCCCAAGTAACCCCACTACTATCAAGCTGATAGCAATTAGCTACAAAGGCGTGTCGATCGACTGCGATTCTATAAAGTTTAGGAAAGGAGCATGACAACAATTGATCTCCACACCATAAATCTTCCCAAAAACGAATACATCGACCATCGCGAACCTTGAATCTAATATGCGAAGAGAAGACATCCCAACCCTTCCGAATAAACTTCCACACGCCTACACCTCCCGCTATAGAAACTGGAAGGGAGGACCAACCACCACTCTCCTCCCCAAAACGACAAGAAACGATCCTTCTCCACTGGCTATGACGTTCCTTGCCAAATCTCCACAACCACTTTCCCAAAAGAGCTCTATTGAAGGGAACCATCTTCGGGATACCTAAGCCTCCTAGCTTCATGGGCTTACATACTTGATCCCAGTTAACAAGATGATACTTGAATTCGTCATTCCTTCCACCCCATAAAAAGTCCCGTTGGATTTTTTCTATCCTTTTAGCTATAGAGCACAGAATTTGGAACAGGGATAAGAAATAAGTGGGTAGGCTCAAAAGAGTGCTCTTGATAAGAGTGACCTTCCCTCCCTTTGACAAGTATTGCTTCTTCCAACCCGCCAACCTCTTCTCGAACCTCTAAACGACAGAATCCCAACTCCCCACCGTCCTGGAGGAGACCCCCAGAGGCAATCCCAAATAGGGAATAGGAAAAGCTCCCACCCCACATCCAAGAACTGCAACTAGGGAGGAGATATCTAGGACATCTCCGACTAGGACAAGCACACTTTTACTAATATTTACCTTCAACCTAGAAACCGCCTGGAAACAAACAAGAATACACCTCAAGC